GTTATCTAGAACTACTATGAATTTATATTTAAGATAATAACAAATGATTCATACTTATTACATTTAGAGGCAAAAGTGCAAGCATTCGCAATTCAGGTACAAAGTTAATAACCGAGGATCTGAAAATTGGCCAGAAAGTTCATTCTGTACCTATTAAAGTTGTTTCCATGGGATGAAAATAAAATGTCGTAACTTCACACATTTTGCAGGCTATCTATTATGGTTCAACCGTGCTACAGAGCCCAGGTTTAAATCCCGGGCTCCAATCCAAGGCTAAGGTGGAAACGTTGATCTTCTGCACTTGGGGGGCCCGCCATCAAAATCGTAGAGCCTCTGCCCCCGTAACGAAGCCTGGGTTTTTCAGCATTTTCCATTATGGTTTCACTAAGGAGATTCTTTGTGTGTGTTTTTCTAATGCAGATTTTTGTCTTTTCTGTTTTGCATTATATATCCTCATTGATGGGTATTATTGCTGCAGTTTTTGTTCAGGAAAGATAATAAAAGCAGGGCTGATAGAGAGTACTATACTACTATCTTAGCCCACTAATCAAATACTTGATGAAAAATAGTAGCAGCATGAAAATAGCTTGTTAGGTTTGAGATTTTTCTGTATCTTCCTATTCTAGGGTAGAAAAAGAGGTAGTGGAGAGTGGAGGGACGGGTACTTTTAAGTTTGACCCAATCAAGGGAGCTAAATTCCACTTTGACTTTCAAAATCATGAATATTATGACATTGGCCTCTTCTATGGTAAAAGACAAAAATGTCCTTAAATGTTTTGTACAATTACAAAACAATATATTGTTGAAAGGACTATACTACCCTTTTAGTTAATAATTGAAAACCAAACATTTCCCCACTTATAAAAACTTCAAAACGAGCTTCCAACACAGGAAAAACTCTCATCTTTTCATCTGCTTGAACCTCAAAATCTAGAAGAACTTTGGAACGTTGAAGTTGGAAATTTTTTTCACATCAATTACTTCAAATCGGTAAGTACATTTACGCATGTTTAATTTCGTTTTAAGTAAATTAGTATACGTTTAAATAGAGAAAATTTATGTCGACATAGATTTTTTTTAACAGATCTTATCTATAAAAAAAAATTAAACAGATGTATAACTTACGTTTAAATTACGCATGTTTAATTTCGTTTTTAGAACGGTATTCTCCTACGCCAAACTGGGTAAAGCTTAACAAACAGCCAAACAGTCGGAAACAGTCCGACTGCTTGGCTATTAAACAGCCGAACAGTCGGCTGTTAAACAGCCAACAGCCGGCTGTGCGGCTGTTTAACAGCCAATTGGCTGCAGTTGATTTTTAACGCATTTTTCTTATAATTAATATTTGAAGTTGATTAAAACCATTTCCTCATGCAGATATGATAATTCCTGTGTGTTATTTCGGTGATTTCGAATTGAATGAAAATAATCGGTGGGAATGCAGATGGACGAGTGACATACGTGGTTGTATTGCAATTCCCGTAACAGAGAGTACACCATACTTAGAGATGTACCACGATTTGCAAAATAAGCTGAATGTCGATCAATCTCAATACGATATGCAATTGAGATATCTATTCAACGGTTATGGGGATTCATCCATTCCGATGCCACCGGTATTCGTTACTAATGATGCTGAATTGAATTATCTATTAGAATTGAATAAAATGCATCGGATTCCGACTGTTCTTGGTGTGACTTTAATTACAAAGGATGTTATCGAAGGTGAACGTGAAGATTCAGATAGGGCGGATAACAATGATCGAGATTTTTGGGAAACAGTGGAGATAGTTCCTCCGGATGATTTGGGTATTCCTGAGACAGTTGCTTCTGATCGTGATGTCGCTGTTACGCGCAGAATTTCGTCGACAGTTGAAGACAATGAGAACATAAACGAGTTTACAAATGAGAATTTGATTGCTTTATCCCGACAGAGACACAAGCTTGGTGGGAGCTCACAGGTTGGAACAAGTGGACCGTCCTCCAATTATTCCCGTGTGGCTCCCGATAATGAGGACTTGCAGGTCGAGCAACTGTTTGAAACCAAGAAAGATTTGCAGGAAGCTGTGCACCGGCTGGCATTAAAATATAACTTTGAGTTCAAGGTTAAGAAATCAAACAAATCATTGTTGACGGTTGCTTGCGTCGAAGACAGTTGCAATTGGCGCTTGAGAGCAACTAAGATGGACACGAATGAGTGCTTCGTAATTCGCAAGTATTTACGGGAACATACTTGCTAAGTGGGAATTCTTTGAAACGATCACAGGCAAGCTCGAGCATGGTTTATTGGTCGACAGATAATGCACAAGTATCAGGATCCACGGACGATCTACAGACCTTCGGACATCATTAACGACGTCCGTCAAGAGTACGAAGTGGTCATGAGCTATCAAAAAGCGTGGAAGGCCAAAGAATGTGCGTTGGAGGATTTAATGGGATCGGCTGAAGAGAGCTATGCTAAATTGGCTAGGTATTGCCATAACATGGGGACAACTAATCCTGGCACGGCATTTTTTATTGAGGCGGGGGGCGATAATTGTTTTAAGTATTTCTTCATGGCTCTCGGACAATGTATTCGGGGTTTTCGAAATGCAATGCGACTCGTAATTCTAGTTGATGGTACGACTCTGAAAGCTAAATGTCAAGGCAAATTAATTATTGCTACATGTCAAGATGTCAACATCCAAATTTACCCTATTGCATTCGGCATAGTCGACAGCGAGAATGATCTGTCCATGCGTTGGTTCTTTTCTAAACTGAGGGAAGTGATCGGGGAAGTCGAAGACCTTGCCTTTGTAACCGATCGAGGACAGTCTATAATAAACGGTATCGCTGAAGTTTTTCCCGAGGCACATCACGGGTATTGCATGTACCATATACAAGGTAATTTGAAGACTAGGTATCAGAGCACAGGCATCGTTTCATTGTTCAGGAGAGCAGCCGAAACTTACAGTGCTGAAGAGTGTAAAAAGTTCATGCTCGAGATAGGAAGTAAATCATTACCGGCGTTGGAGTATCTGACGAAGATGGGGATCGAACATTGGGTGCGGTCGTACTTTCCAGGACGTCGATACAACATGATGACCTCGAATAACGCGGAGTCTCTCAATGCATTGTTTAAGAAGGATCGAGAGTTATCAATTCTCGCAATGATTGAGAACATTCGTAACAAGCTACAACAGTGGTTTCATAACCGACGTGCGGCATCATAGAGTTGCACTAGCGTGTTGGCCCCAGCTCAAGAGGAGAAACTGTTTAAGGCGGCAGAGGTTGCGAGGAAGTTGAATGTGGAAGCACTAGATGAATTTCGCTTCTCCATGCAATGTGCACGTAATACGGCATATATGGTGGACTTGACTGATAAGACATGCACTTGTACGAGATTTCACTTGGAGAGTTTTCCATGTGAGCATGCAGTTGCGGTGGCCATGTATCGAGGCTTTGCTGCGAGAACGTTATGCTCTTTGTATTATACGACCGAGTCTTGGAGAACAGCATATGCCGAGACTATATTTCCTCTGCCAAATGAAGCCAAGTGGGAAGTTCCCGAGCACATTCTCCCATTTCATAATTTGTTACCACCAGCAGTTGAACCGTGTGGTCCTGGACGTCCAAGTACATCTAGAATACCATCTACCGGAGAGTTTCCTCGATCGCGTAGGTGTGGCCGGTGCAGAGACGTAGGGCATACTCGACAATTTTGTACCAATCAAATTCCCCTAAATGACGACTAGATAGGTACGTGAAATGAATAATATTTCCTTTTACTTTACACTGTTCAATATTTGTTATTTATAAATCTTCCATATTCAATATTTATTCTCTATAAATGGTATTTATAATAATTCATATGAAAAAAATAGTTTTATACTCGGCATACGGGTAAAATAACAAAAAATAATTAAATTTCCAATTTGAATGTTATATATATTGAACACAAATTTACAATTATTTCATAATTACCAAAATAATTAAATTTACAATTAAAATGTTATATACATTGAACACAAATTTATAATTATGAATATTTCATAATTACAAAAATAATTAAATTTACAATTGAAATGTTATATACATTGAACACAAATTTACAATTATTTCATAATTACAAAAATAATTAAATTTACAATTGAAATATTACATATATATAAATGAAATTTATGGGTCAGCATTAAATTCGAACAAATCACATGCTAGCTTCTTTCTCCAGTTCTGTATCCACGACTGGTTGATTTCATCAACCTTATGTCCTATACTTAAAAATTCAACGTACTTAATGGCAAATATGCCGCAGTCGTCTCTACAATTAAACAAGAATGAATCAATTTAGTACTGTGTAAATAAAAATTAAATCTGAAAGATGAAAACAACAACGTTCAAACACTTACCTTACGGACTGTCGCGCTGTCGTCGTGTTCCGAACGATCCGCAATCTGTCATGTACATTTATCCCCGCTCGTCTGGCCATCATAGGAACAATTACAGCCACGGACTCCAGGTTTCGCTCCAACTGGCCTTGTGTCAAACATGAATGATCTGGGTCGTACACATATATAGTCGAGTCAGCAAAAACGATCTCCAGCGTAACATAGTGTTTATTGATGCACGCTGGAATGTACATATGTGTACAACCCTCCCATGATTTTCCCCCGACACTCGGTGACAGTCCTATCACCCACTCGAGCATCTATTCTGGCACTGTGTACTCGTTACCCATAAGTGCGAGTTACTGATACTCTATGGTAACAGCACCCATGAACTCGGTGTTTAATATGACTCGGTCATGGACATCAAATGATTTTGGATGTCTTTGAGCTCGATCTCGCAACAAGTCCATGGCCAAGTCGATGTGCTGCAGCAGGAAACACCAAAAAAGTATGAGTTATTCATTTAATAAACACAAGGTCACATATACATAAAAAAACATGAAATGAATAGTTCACTTACATCGTCAGCGAGCCAAGCTCCCGCAGTGGTGATATCGTGGACCGTCCTTTGTCCTATCGTGCGGCTAACTCTGTAAAAAAGAGGGAAATGTTAAAATAAGCGTAGACGAGTTAGCGTACAGTGCTTTATTAAAATCATACAATACTTACTCGGGGATAATTCTCCTCCACTCTGTCTCGAACGCTTTCCACTTGGCATTGTCCACCTCTCTAAATAAGTTCGAGTACGTCCCATCGATGAACGTCCTCCTCTTGGCCTCAGCCGTGAAGGGGGAAACAACATACTGTGACGGCACTCTCAACCTCTTGCCGACCACCTGCTCCGTCTCGTCAACAGCATGTCTCTTACCCTCAATCACGCCGGGCGTCCTCTCGACCTTCGGGGCCACCCCCTCCCCCCCCTCCATCGGGGCCTCCCCCTCCGTCGCCACCTCCTCCACCCCTCCCGTCAGGGCACCCCCTCCGTAGTCCCCTCTCCCATCCCCATCAGGGCCACCCCCTCCATAGACAATCACAATGACTCCAATGTCTCATCACGCCAAAAATGTGGGTGACCCCCCTCTCCATCACCATCTCTGCCACCCTCTCGATCATGATCTCCGCCATCCCCTCTGTCCCCCCATCGTCTGCCGGCTAAATCTCCTCTAAGCGCCGCTACTGTATCCTGAAGGTCGACAACGGAAGACTGAAGTATTCCAACATCATGGGATAGATCGTCAACCCTCCCTGTCAACTCTCGTCCCATATCGTCAACCCTCCCTGTCATATAGTCAACCCTCCCTGCCAGATCGTCGACCCTCCCTGTCAACTCTCGTCCCAGATCATCGACCCTCTCCGTCAAATCTCGTCGTAGCGCGCCGACCTCCTTCGCTATAAATCCAGTCAAACGGGCATACAAATCATCACTGTGCCCCGGAGACACACGGGGGAGGTGTCTGGACGGAGGGGATGCCAATGGCGGCGGCGATGGCCCCGACGGAGGGGATGCCACTAGCGGCGGTGATGCCCTCGACGGAGGTGATGCCAATGGTGGGGACGATACTCTCGGCGGAGATGATGCCAATGGTGGCGGCGATGCCCTCGGCATCTAAATGATACTCCATCCTGCAAAAATTCAAATGTTATAGCATTGAACAAGAGATAACAAAAGAAACCATAATCTCACAAAATCAAGAGAACCGAACTCTAACTACCATACAATCACAAATATTACATTTGAAAAATATATTTACAAAAAACAACAAATCAAATTAAATGTATTGTCAAAAAAATTAAAGAATATAAATATTATTTAAATAAATTGAAAAAAAATAAAAGATTTTCATAAAAGAATAATAAAAGGAACAAAACAAATTGTTAATTTCGAACAATACTATGTATTCAATTATTAAATTATATAAAAAAGGAAATTATAAAAATTAAATAATTAAATAAAATAATTATTATTTGGAAAATATATTTACAAACAAAAAATTTCAAATTAAATACATTTTCGAAAAATGTAAAGACTATTTATATTATTTAAATAAATTTGAAAAAATAAATTAAAGATTATTTCATAAAAAAAATAAAGGAACAACACAAAATTGTTAATTTTAGAATATTTCAATTATTAAATTATATAAAAGACAAATATAAAAATTAAATAAATAATTACTTTACATTTTCGAAAAATGTAAAGACTATTTATATTATTTAAATAAATTTGAAAAAATAAATTAAAGATTATTTCATAAAAAAAAAAGGAACAACACAAAATTGTTAATTTTAGAATATTTCAATTATTAAATTATATAAAAGACAAATATAAAAATTAAATAAATAATTACTTTACCTTTTTTAAAAATATAAAGACTATTCATATTATTTAAATAAATTTGAAAAAATAAATTAAAGATTATTTCATAAAAAAAGAATCAACATTGTTAATTTTACAATATTTCAATTATTAAATTATATAAAATACAAATATAAAAATTAAATAAATAATTACTTTACCTTTTTTTAAAATGTAAAGACTATTCATATTATTTAAATAAATTTGAAAAAATAAATTAAAGATAATTTCATAAAAAAAATAGAATCAACATTGTTAAATTTACAATATTTGAATTATTAAATTATATAAAAGACAAATATAAAAATTAAATAAATTTGAAATAAAAAATTAAAGATAATTTCATAAAAAAAATTTGAAAAAATAAATTAAGATAATTTCTTAAAAAAATAATCAACATTGTTAATTTTACAATATTTTAATTATTATATTATATTGACAATGATAAAAAAAATTAAATAAGTAAATAACATAATTACTATTTAATCAAATAAAAAATTTAATTAATTACAAAAATTATAAAAAAATTTAAAATTAAATATTTAGTCTGGGTCGTTAACCGGCCCAGACTGCCCAGACTGTTAACAGTCGGGTAAATCGACTGTTAACACAGCCGGGGGCCGAGAATCGGTCGGAAACCGTCATTCCCGGCCACTGAGCTCCAAAAAAAGCCAAAAATTCACATTTTTCACACTCCAGCATGCCCACAATCTAACTACTCATACCCATGGATCTAATTAAACCAAAATTACTAAGGAAAGTGCTATACCATGAACCGAATGAACTGGAGAAATGTGATGAAAACTAACCGGTTATTTTATTTCCGGTGTAGATGATGGTCGTTGACTGCGACGTTGGTGTAACTCCGGTGGTCGGTCGGTTGAGTTTCTGCACTGGTCGGTCGACGGTCGGCGAGATATTTTCAAACAGTCTGAAAGGTAAAATGGCCTTTTACTGTGAAGTTTTTTTTTTAACTTAATTTTTTTTTTAATTCATTTAATGGGTCAAAGGCCAATGTCAAATTTTGCTACAGTGGAAGAGCCATTTTCGTGTATTTCCTCGTGGAGGGAGGGAAGCAGGGCATAAACTTTTGAATTAACTTGGTTTGTTCAATAAAAATACTATGATCCTGGATTTACTTAAAGCAAATAAAGAATATCAATTTTATTCTTTCTCGCAGTTTTATATGATTAGAATCACACATTTTTCAATAAAATAATATTACACGCAAATTCAAAATTATTCTTTATTTTTTAATCACACATTTTTCATCAATACACTATTCAAAAATACATTCTTAGGAACATAATGTGGCTCAAACAAGAGCTTAGTCATTTATTCTTTTGATGAGTTATGACTTTGATCGAAATATCCCTTGAATGTTCAACAAAATTTGCCAAATGAGAAACAATCTTAAGATTGAAGTTTTTTTTTTAAGGGATGGCAAAAATACCTGTCAAAATCAATACCGCGGGACCCGCCCCTAACGGGTTGAGGATTACCCACTTAATCGGGTAATCGGGTCGGTACGGGTAACAGGGGGCCCGTCCTGCCGCGCCCCATTTATTTATTTATTTATTTATTAAGAATTCAATATTTTAAGCTCTTGTTTGATTTTCATTATTTTTAAAATCTATTTTTTTCTCTTCTTTTCAACTACACATTTTTTAATAAAATAATATTACAAGTAAATTCAACATTTTTTCTTATTTTTTAACAACATATTCTCAATCAATCTACTATTCTAAAATGCATTATTAGGAAATAATGAGGCTCAAACAAGCACTAAATAAAAAAATTTCATTAATTTTAATAGAAAATGGTAACTAAGATTATCTAAAAAATATGATAAACAATAAAAACCTTAATTTATCAAATATATTCGAATAATTTAATTTTTAAACATAAATAAATTAATTGAAAATTTTCATAACTATATTGTTGTTTCACTTGAATGAATTGGGCATTAAAATGAATTATCCAAAAAAAAAAAAATTAAACGAGTACGTAAACAAGGCAACCACCCCACCCCCACAACCCCGACTTAAATGGGTAACGGGGGCGGGCCATCCCTATTTCTTTTACTAGTGAGAAGGCACCAAGCTACGACAACAATTATCTATTGTTTTAAAATGTATAGTTAATCAATGGTCATTTTCATTGTCGATTTGAGATTGACAACGATCGTTCTCATAGGGAGATTTTGTCTCTCTTAGCAGATGTTCTATAAAATTGATTAACATTCACAACAGACCATTTTCAGGCTAATTCTTGGCGACGTTTTGCATCTAACCTTCAAAAAGTCATATGTTTGGTAATGTGGGCTGGCTAAACTTCAATAGTAATAATTTTCTAGAAGGTAAAACAGAGAAAGCCGAAATCCACTGCATACTCCCTCCCAAGGTGATGTGCTTTTCTGGCCTTCCATCTTTGATTCTTGACAATGGTCGCTTGTGAAATTCGAGACTGTCATGCTTGTAATTTTCAAAAATCAATTGGCTCATCCGTACAAAAAAAAAAATTCAAGCTCCTAAACAACTTTTTGAGCCCCTTTCTCTCTCGTAGTTCTTCACTAATAGCAATGTAACCTTTATAGCATCTGGATTGTAAGTGTGAAGTAATATAGGCTTTGTGTATTTTGATATGGATAATTCTACAAGTACAAATTATCCTCACAGAAAAAACAGGGTACTCACATGGGGTGGGGCCCATGTGAGTTTTATATTGGAAAAAACCACACCACCCATGTAAGTGTTATGCGTTAAATCCAATCGATTTAGGTTGTAAACGCTTTTAATATGTTTAATGCATTTAATTTTGGCGAGATCTATTATTTATTTAAATTAATTTTGTGATAAATAATATTAAATAATAGAATCCGAATATCCAAGTTTAAGTGATTCGTTAATCATGATGAGTTGTGATTGTGAGATACAAATTACATATAATTGGATCTTGAATAAACCGTAGTCGTAAGTAATAACGAGATACGGATATCGTTAATACAGTTAGACCATCACATGTGGCATTTCTTACTCGTAAAGTAAGTAGCTGATCTCACGAGTTAAAGTGTGTTGACACTTAAATGAACACGTGGATGTTTTGTTATAGAACAAAACATTGGAGACCCTCTAAGAGATTCCACATGGATAACTATCTGAGTGTCAGTGGTTAATCTTTAACGTTCGGTAGTGAAATTGGTCCTATAACTTGAGGTCATCATAGTGCCTTGTATGAGGATAGTCATACTTTGACAGTGTTGGATGTTGCTCTACCAAGAGCCACTAATACGACATCATTTAGGTATGTCAAGAACCATATGAAGGTTGTGTATGACCAATAGAGGATTCGTCATTCTTAGATAGTAAGAGATTGTGATCTGCATTTCGTTCAATTAAGTCAATAACGAAATCCTAGGCCAAGGTATACATATAAGTCGAAAAGGAGTTTTCGACTCATATTGACTTAATAGTAGAATGAAAGATATGATCGATAATCAAGATTGACACACTTTCATATCTCGTAGTTGATTGGATCATATTGACGAAAGGATTATAATTTCATGGTAAACGAATAGTTTTGGTTTTATCATACCACGTGACATATCCCGTCACACGTGTTGCCCTGATACATTGCTAGATGTCAATCTGGGATGACGAGTATGAATTTGTGATAAATTAAAAGGGTGTTTAATTTATCAGTTTTGATTAGATCAAAATAATATTTCACGTCGTTAGGTGTCGTGATCGGGAACCTAATGGGTCACACACAAAAGAGAATTGGAAGATTGCAAATTGCCAATTAATTAATTTAACAATCGTTGGATAAATTAATTAATTGAATTTGTTATTTATAGTCCCAAATTAATTAATTGGATTAATTAATTCACGGACCGGGTTTAATTAAATGGATTAATTAAATATTGGACCGGACCGGGCCAACCCATTTGGGTTTATATAAATATATGGCTAGAGTTTGAGGTCCATAAGGTTTTCATTATTCTTGCTGGCACAAGAGAAAAAATTCTAGCAGTTGCAGTCTATTCTCTGTGTGGATTTCATTGGAGGTTGGACAATTGGACAACTGTGTGAGGCAGATTCAAGCTGCTGGAAAGGAATAACGCGAAGGAGTTTGCAAAATCAAGAAAATGTATATTTCTTATCACAGTTCTTATCTAAATACAAAGCTAAATCTTGAATGGGAATTGAAATTTGTTTAATTCCCCTGTGCATGTTTAAGTCAATTCCCAA